GACTAGACCTCACTAAAAATGAGGTCAACAGTGCATAAGAGATCAAAAAAAAAAAAAAGAAAAAACTCTTTTGGGTTCTAACTCACAAGTGAGCTTAAGTGACAATATTTAAAAACATTAGTTATTAAACATATAAGGTAACTTGAAATATTCTGGTGAGAAGCTGAATGAAAAGAAAATTAGTTTTATGGGCAAAAGTGCGGAGGCATGGAGAGGACAGACCTACTTGAAACAACATTCATACATTACGTACCAAAATGATACTTAAGCATATTCTATTATGAAATTCTATTATTTTTACTTCTTCAATATTTCAATGGCATAACAGAAATATTGCAATAGGTATGCATAAAGTTGATAACAAATGGAGATTCATCAAAGACTTTCATATATTCAGCAATAAGAAATCAATATATGATTCCATAAATTACCACTACCCAGATATGTGGATAAGAATTTGTTTGCTGAAAGGGATAAGAAACTTCAAGTAATAAAACAAATAACAAAAAGTTTGAACAGGCAGAAAACATTCAAGAAAAAGTAATAAGGCACCTGAGAAATCACAGGTCGGGCAGATGCAGCATGCGTAGCAGCTTTTTTGAGGTCTGAACCAAAGCCACCCAGCAGAACAGATATCGAATTATCTTTACCAATAGAACTTGCGGCAGAAATTGCACTTAAAGTTGATGGTTTAAGAAATCCCCCTTCATGTTCACCTAAAACCAACGTGCTAATCTAATAAAACATATAACGCACATCAAAAAGTGCTGCTCGTCAGAAAAAAAATGATACGATGTCTAGGTACCACCCGCTATAAAAGTGGAAGGAAATAAGACAACATCCACTATGGTGAGATGAGAAAAAGAAATGTCCGCGCCAATATATAAAACGACTTTCACTAGAATTGATGTCATAAAACAGTACAAACATTCTATCATTTATGTGATTTCAATACATAATGAAAAACTAAAAGTCAAGTAAATCACAAAGCTTCATAAAGAAGATTAAGGTCAACCATCATGATAGATTGAAACCATTGTGTGAAGGCTGGCCATGATGAAGAGCAGAAACTAGAGTTTTCAACAAAAAAAATTAAGAAAATCATTCTACCACATTACTACTGCTTAATAATGTATGTCAGTATCTTTCAACTAAAATTAAGGGGGAGGATTTAAATTCATGCTACACAATTCTTACATATATACATATCTAACCCTAAACTTTAGCATTTTGATACACCTGTTATTACGCTGGTATAGGAGGGACCGGCTTGGACCGAAGCCGCTCAGCCCAACCAGCCAGCCCAAACAAACCAGTTGGCCTGGCCGAAAGGGGAGAACCCTCCTATCATGAGAAGGATGATTTCAACCCCAGGCATACGAAAGGGAGATAAGGGGGGTTTTGGGGGTGAGGGAGGAGAATTTGAAGCGGCCTCAAGGGCTATTTATGAGGACTAATTAGCTAGGGTTTGGTTTATGTTTTGTTTCCTGCAGCTTTTTCTTTTGTCATCTTGTTCCTAGGGGCATCTAGGGTTTGTGGAGAGACGATCTACCTCTCGAATTATAGATCACCCTTGTATCTTGCTTATTTGCTTTGGTATTAATCGATTAACCCTAATTTGGATTTCTTCTCACCAAATTCTCGCAAGTTTTTGCTGATTTTGGCTTCTATTCATATCAAATTAGTATCATAGTACCATCTTGGATAAATGACCGCAAGAACAGTTGATGCTTTGGAATAGAGATTGGAATTAAAGGTAAGGCAACTTAAATATGGGATAGAATATTTTCCTCCATAATAACTACTTCAAGAACTTGGAAGAGAGGATAAGGAAGCTTATTTAGATGCAAGACAAGAACTTGTCGGCAGCTCAATTTGCAAACTCTTAACCAAGTGTTGACAAGAAAATCTGTGGCCAGATTAAAAGGGAAAAAGATCGAACGTGAGGAATGTGAGGAAAACATTTACCATCAAGAATTCCCCCTCTAAAACTCTGATGGGGGGTGGATTAATGATTTATGCTGGAGGGGGTTCGGCTAAAACATGAATGAGAGGTTATCCAAAGGGTTGGGAGGTGCTCGAAGAAGAAATGAGAGAAACCAGAATGAGGTATGACTATGATCAACGGAGAGAGTTTCACTTTAGATGCATGGGGGAAAACACCAGGAGGAGGAAGTTGGGATAGTGACGCTATGGATAGGAAGTTGAAGATGTTGATTTTTGGGTGGGTGCATCGGGTCGAGCGATATTTTGCGGAGAATGGGCTAAATAGAGAGGAGAAGCTGATGTCAACAAGGTTATGTTTCGAGACAAAAGCCCTAACATGGTTTCAGTGGAGGGGGGCAAGATATCATATCCGTGTGTAGAAGAAATTTAAATATTGCTTGTTGGAGCGCTTCTTAGCTATTCGAAAAGAAAACCTACATTAGCAATTTTATACCTTGACTCGGGAAGGGACTGTCGAGGAATATAGGAAGAGATTCAAACTATTGTCGGGAATGCTGGGGGGGTGGTTCTAAAGCAACATTGAAGAAAAACTTTATGGGGAGACTATCATAGAATATAGGAAGATATTCAAACTATTCTCGAGAATGTTGAGGGGAATTTTTTAAGTATGATTGAAGGAGAAGATGAAGGGTCTTAAGCAAGAAATACAGGCAACACTCTGACTATTAATACCGTGGGATTGCAGGAGACGATAGAGCTCGCCCAGATGGCGGAAGACAAAAACAAGATGAAGACGACCAGCAAAAGCAGCCCAGTTGAAAAGGGGGACCCTCTTGTCACGAGAAGGATAATTTGAAACCACGAGTGGGGCCTGATCATACACTAATCATGTATATGATGGAAAGTAAGAGGGATTTTAGGGAAAAAGTTTAAAAGAGCATTGAGAGGTAGTTATGAGGGCTTTTGATTTATATTTTGTTTCCTGCAGGTTTTCCTTTTGTTGTTTCTAGCAGCGTTCAGAGTTTATGGAGAGACGATCTACCTCTCGGATTGTAGATACCATTTTATCTTGCTTATTTGCTTTGGTATTAATCGATTAGTCCTAAATTGCTTTCTTCCCACCTAATTCTAGCAAGTAATTCGTTGATTTTGGCTCTGGTTCGTATCACGTTTACATAAATAGTACCCAAATCTTTAAAAGACATCAAAATAACATCAATATTAACTTTTTTTAAGTGAAATACACATTTTCATACATATGTTTCGATATGATTGAGATAGTATAGGGTTATGTAAAAAAATATTAAAGGCTAGGTGTTATATATATAAATATATGAGAATTATCTGGCATGTATGTAAATATCCTAATTAAGAAATGTCATTTGGTGAAAAGCAATATTACAAAAACAAAATCTCTATAATTTATAATTCGTTCGCTCATTATCAAAAGATCATACCTGAATATCTATCAATTTGTAAAATGCCAGTGAATGTGACCCGCAAAAAGATCACCATTGAGTCTACTAAAAGAAGAAAAACTCTAGTTCTATTCCTAATAGGCAACTCGCCATGTACAAAGACAAAAAGAGCACTTGCAGCATGATAGGGACTCCCAAAATAAAATTGAAATACATCGATAGTTTGTGATTTCTGTAAACAAAAATAATTTTGAGCTGATAGTTTGCATAATCTTCTACTGTTAGCTGCCAAGTTTTGGATGCCCAATGTCCATGCCCATAAATGCAATTTAGCACAGGAAGATGAATGACAACAATTCATCATCATCATTAGCCTTATCCCAATAATTTGATACCAGCATTATGATTCTTAGTTGTCATTGGTTCTTCCAGAGTTATGCCTCAAGCATTAAACATACTCTTCATTTTGAATAACTTAAAAGCATGTTATCTTGGGTCTACTCCTTCCTAATATTTCGACGCTACCCTGTCTAATGAATGCATTTCTTTTATCCTCCTTTATCCATATATCAAATTTTAACATTCAAATTTCTATAGCACTCAACTTAGCAATTGAATTTTTACGGCTTAATGTTTGAGCTCATACAGCATAATCAGCATAATTGTAATTTAATAATTTTTTTCTTTTTTATTTCCTAAATAATCTCTTTAACTTATAATATTTCTCAGGCCCTTCTACATTATAACCATCTAGCCGCAATTATAAAAATTATATCAAAATCTACATCATTATATATAAAAAAATTATCATACATAAGAATTATATTAGCTTTTAATAATGCTCATCAAGATCTACACCTACTACATTGCATAACATATATTCAACTTTTGTTCTACTAATTCTAAACTATTTTAACATTTAAAAATTTTCTAAATTATCAAACTTTTCATGTAATTCAACAAATATCTCATTGATTATAATGACACCATTCGCAATAAGCAGACATAATAGCACATCACTAGGAATATACTTTATAAACATCTCCATAACCAATACAACCACATTAAACTTAGTGATGATTTTAACATAATCCTACTGTAATTGAAAATATTTCCAATCTTTACTAGTTTTAATCAAAAATTGAGACTATGGGTTTATTAAGGGCAACGTATAAGTGTGTTCGGCGTTTTGAAAACATCATTCAAGCGTTTGTTTCGTGCGTTCGTGTTGCGGATAGGGAACGGCGGTTCGCGTGTTATAATAAACGTGGGCCGCGGGATCGAATTCGCGGCCCACGTCTTCCATCTGCGTTCAAGGAAGAATTACTCTTGTGCCCTTATCCCTCACAACCTGCGTATTCTACATCACTCTTCTTCTTAACACCTCACTCCTCCCATCCCCATTGTTTATTTCATTACAGAAGCTCGCAACCCAATTTCAACTTTTCCGACACATTTGACGACTGTTGCGGCTACCATAAATGAAAAATTGCACAAATTCATGGCAAACTTCAAAACGAAGGTGTGGGGGAGGAAATGAACATACTAAATAGCATGAAAGAGGGATTCACCCTCACCAAAACCTCTCCGGAAGTCCTGCGGCTCCCAGTTAGCCGCTCGCCCCTCCATGCTCACCCCTTGCTACAATACCCAAGCTGAATTCCTTCCAGGCGGGCGAATAGAGGAACATGTAGATGGGGAGTGTCACATATAGCTTAACTCATCTCTTCCTCAGCCATTCGATTATATTGAACCAATGCATGCGCAGTTAAGTGCGGAGAGGAGTCAACAAGCTACCATAATGAGGGAATTAGGGAGGGATTAGAAAAATAATTAAGATTTAATTCAAATAAATATATTTATAACTTCCGAATTTTCTATCTCTCAATCCAAACATAATTCTTAAATAATGCTTTATTTGGATTTTAAAATTAATATAATCTAAATTTTAATTGTAATTTTAATATACTTTTTTATTAAATTTGATACTCATTGTTAAGTGAAGACTGTTTCATCTTTTTTTTCTTTATTGTTTTGTATTATTTTTATGCTTCTACAGTATTGAATATATTGTCAAGACAGTTATGCTACAAATACCATTACTTAATAGAGACAAAATGATCATTTATCCAAAAATAACTGCAAATCAGTTATTTTTTAAACGCACAAACCAAACATTCAAGTCAGCTTATCAGAATAAGTTGGATAAGTTGCACCTGCCCCAAACGGACCCTATGATTGCAACATGGATAGGACTTAAGCATGATGTAAGTCATTAGGTAATCTAAACAACATAAATATCTATCTTGTTCATCTTGCACTATAAAAGATATTTTTTACATATTTTAACATTTACATGATATTTATGCA